AACTCTAGAATTAAAAGACAAGGAAGACTCAAAATATTTTATAGTATGGAATAGATGGTATAAGTGAATAAACCAAAGCAAAAAAGGGTAAAGATAAGAATTAGGGGAAATGCAAGTAATAATAATAATAATAAAAAATGCACCGTCAGAAAGATAGAATAGGTAAATAAGTCACTGTTTGTATATTTGTATATATGTGTTTATATAATCACGTATTTAGTATGTTAGTGTAACTGTGGATTGAAAATGTAAATTTTACGAGTGAGAAAATTTGTATATTTTCTCTTTTTTTTTCTTGTTAATATTTTTAAATTCAATAAAGTTTGTTTTTTAAAATTAAAAAAAAAAAGAAATCTCCCACAACCAGAAGGCTGGGAGTTCAACTGCCACTTCGGCCAAGACATCGAGCAGTGCGGGCAGGGTAGTGGCCACATAGCTGGGAGATAGGTACATGACCAACAAACCCGACTGAACTCCAGGGTCCCACTTCAATAGAAGAGACTCACACCCGCCTATCTGAGGGACAGTGACCTCCCTAGGACTAAGACTTTCTCTAATAACCACCCCCACCCCTTCCCTGGCATCGCGGCTGGTTCAGTACACGAAAGCCTGGGGGGCATAAGTCAGAGAGAGGCACTCCCCCCTCCTGCTCCAACCAGGTCTCCGTAATGCAAGCCAGGTCCGCGCCCTCCTCGTCGATAAGATCTTGTATGAGGGGGGCCTTATTCGCTACGGACCTGGCATTCACATACACCAGGGTTCCTCGCTCTCGCACCCCTGGGAAGCAGGATGAACAGTGGGAGTGGGAGCGCGCCACCACCCGAATACATACACCCGGCCCCCACTCCCATCTCCTCTGCCCCTCCCTACCATCACAGGTATAAAATGTCCCTCTCCTCCCCACACTTCATCTTCGCCCCCATCCCCATCCAACCCGTCGAGCCCATCCGACTGGCTGGGCTGTTGATCCTTAAGAGACCCACCAACCTCATTATTTACATTAGAAACCATCCTCCTCTCGGGTCCCCTTAAAATTGACGCTAAAAATCTATTTAAAAAACCCCAAAGCCCCCGGTTCTTAGCATGCCACCTCTCGGGGTTCCAAAACCAGTCATCAAGGGCAGCCCTCGATAACTGAGAGGGCCAGACCTGCGAGAGGGGGGAATCTCGCAGAGCAAGGAGTTCCGCAGTTGAATACATCGAGGACAGAAAAGGACTGGAGGTGATGCAAGACAGTTCTTCTTTAGGGTGTTGAAGATGGTTAAAACAGAAGGGAAGGAGGCTGTTATACAGGAAGACCAAATACACTGGAACATAAGAACACCACCGCCCTCTCACGGCGATGGGAAGTCTTGTGGCTATAATAAGTCAATCCAGGGGGGGAATAAAGTCTCAATGACTGCTCTCTCATGGCGACCAGTCCAGAATCACAAAGACAAAAGAGAGGATGGTCTGCCCCCCCGGCGATGTAATGAAGAAATAATCCAAGACTCTCGGTATCCGTGATTCCTTCCCTCAAGAATTATAAAATTCAAGAATTATAAAATTCAAGAATGATAAAACTCCCCCATTTTCAGAATGATTAGGATTCACTTTTCAAAGTTTTCCAGTACTCAAAAAATATCTTAAATGCGTTCTAAAAATCAGGCAAAATGTCCACAATCCGTGATTCTTCCCTCAAGAATTATAAAATTCTTGAGCTTTTTCTATTGAATCAACTTTATACTTCTTGTCCTGCCATGTAATAAGAATTCCTTCTGGGATAATCCATCTAAACATTATTTTATATTTAATAAGGTGTGATGTTAAGAAATGATACTGTTGTCTTTGTTCTCAAATTCTTTGTGGGATTTGTTTTAGAATTATGATTTCCTTTCCTTTGTATGTAACTGTCTCTTCGCTTGATTTTTTGTAAATTTCGCCTCATTGTTTTTTTGGTGAATCTTATATGTACTTCACGTGCTAGACAGTGCTTTCTTATGAATTGTTGTGAACTTGGTAAATTTCATCTATGATGTCTCGTATTTCCAATTTGTCTCTCTGTATTAATTCTGCTATTATTTCAATCATTTTCTCCCCCAAATCTTCCTCTTTCTCCTCCACATTCTGGAAGCGCAAGAAAAAAGAGGCTTTCTCCATTTCCAGGAGGATGATCGAATCTGATAGTTCTTTATTCAATTGCAGTGTCTTCTGCTCCGCCATTTCTAATTTATAATCTAGTTGGTCTAATTTGGTTTCTATTTTTTTAATATTCCGCTCATTTTCTGCAATTTTCCATCTTTTCCTTCATATTTTTTAAATCTTCCTTTACTTCTATTTCACTTTTAATTTCTTGATGGTGTTTCCTAGCCTCTTCTTGATTTCCTGCCATTCTTTCTTGCGACTTCACTAAAGTCTCTTGAATCATTTGGAGCATAATTTGCATGCTATTCATTGTTGGCTCTGTTTTATCTTTTTCCTTTCTTAACATGTTTTCAATTGACCGCTGAGTAACTGGGGAAGCCGTAGAAGTTAAATTAGAGGTTGTTTTTTTTCCAGTTTTTGTCACTGTTGTTGTGGTTGACATTATTAAGCTTCTTGTAAAGTTCTTCCACAAAATCGTATACGTGTGTTCTTCTATTTGTCTCGAGACACTCTTCTAATTTATTTTAATTAATTCTATTTCTCAGTATATCTATGTAGCTCTATTCATATAAGTATTTTATTGTATGGATTGTAGCTTTATTTTTTGTTTATATCAATATTCTATGTTCTGAATTAACATTCTTTACCTTTTTCTAGTAAGTCTTATATATCAAATCCTTCAATTTATTCACCACCACTCAAGTAAAAATTTTACCGTTCAAATACTCTTTAACAATCTTTCCTCCCCAAAAAACCAAATTGTTAATTAATTGATCATATATTATCTTTTTTTTCAAGTGATTTCACTATAATTATTATATAATATCAAATAATATCAACAACACAAATAGATATTTCTTCCCCTTTACTTCTTATTCGGATCTATTTTTTAAAAAAAAAAATTAAGTCAGAATAATCTTAATAGTATCTTCTATATTTTCCCTTTTTCAAATATTATCCACAAAACAATATTTTACCCCTCTTCAATTGCTACTTTTATCAGTACATTAAATATTAAATATTAAAGAGCCTGGATAGCTCTGCAGACAAGGCACTGTAATTTAACACCAGCTGTCTGCAATTAAAGTAAGTTCGAATCTTGCCAGGCTCAAGGTTGAGTCAGCCTTCCATTCTTTCTAAGGTAGGTAAATTGAGGACCCAGTTTGTGGGGGCAATAAGCTGACTTTGTATAAATATACAAAAGTATGAAGGCTATTGCTTAACGCACTGTAAGCTGCCCTGAGTCTCCGGAGAAGGGCAGCATATAAATCAAATTTATATATGTGTGTGTGTGTGTGTGTGTGTACAGTTAATATCTCGGGTTTCTTCCCATGTAATTGTAAACATATCCTTAAAAGGGTAATAGCGACGTTTCGACAAAATCACATTTGTCATCTTCTGGCTGAAGTTCTCAGTTTGGTTCTTATGGGCAAACTGTGTGATCGTAACTGACATTTTTCTTTGAAAAGAGGCAAAGGTGTATTCTGATTGGTCGACAGTGTTGTATTTTTTGGCTGATGACATAGCTGTATTTTGATTGGGTGGAAGGAACATCAAGGAACATAAAAATTCAGTACAAAAGAAAGAACACACATCATCATTAGTACAACACATAAATGCCACAGGACATAATATTAATTTTAATAACACAAAAACAGTTGCAAAAATAGAACATCTCAATGGCAGAATAATCAGAGAGGCCATTGAAATAGAGAAAAGACCATATTGTATGAATAAACGTGATGACATTTCCCGTCTGCCTACTATTTGGAAACCTGCTCTCATAGACAGACGAATCTTAACACAAAATATAAACCATAGATCAAAGATTCATCATAATGCCTGTGTTGCCACCATTTCCAGCATAACTTATCCATTAACCCACAACCAAGCAACAGCGCTTCCACCCAATCAAAATACAGCTATGTCATCAGCCAATCAGAATACAACAACACTGTCGACCAATCAGAATACACCTTTGCCTCTTTTCAAAGAAAAACGTCAGTTACGATCACACAGTTTGCCCATAAGAACCAAACCGAGAACTTCAGCCAGAAGATGACAAATGTGATTTTGTCGAAACGTCGCTACTACCCTTTTAAGGATATGTTTACAATTACACCGGAAGAAACCCGAGATATTAACTGTACACACATATATACCCGTGAAAACATACATACATACATACATACATACATACATACATACATACATACACATATATTCTTACTTCTTCGTAGGGTTTATGTGTGTTTTTCCTCTAGCCAGGTTTTCCAGGTTGTGATTCTACTGAGCTAGGGCTGCAGAAAAACCTTGGTTACATAGGGAAAACCTGGCTAGAGGAAAAACACACATAAACCCTACGAAGAAGTAAGAAAATAGATACAGGGAGGATAAGATGTGGGTGTGGCTTACTGATGAAAGCAAACGAGCTAGAAATAGATCTATATAAGTCTCCCACCTAGCAGGAAGAACTTGCTGGCTACCAGAAAAGAAAGAAGCCCAGAATCGAGTGGATGTGATTCTACTGAGAGGGCTGCAGAAAAACCTTGGTTACGTAGGGAAAACCTGGCTAGAGGAAAAACATATATATATAGGATAAAGAAGAAGGAGCTGGAATGACGTAGAGACTGTCTGTAAGAATTGGAGTGACTAAGCGGAAATGGGGACAGAAATGATCTGATGCAATAAGGAGTGGAAACAAGAATCTCAAAGGAAAGACTGGTTAGATTCCAACCAGTCTTTCCTTTGAGATTCTTGTTTCCACTCCTTATTGCATCAGATCATTTCTGTCCCCATTTCCGCTTAGTCACTCCAATTCTTACAGACAGTCTCTACGTCATTCCAGCTCCTCCTTCTTTATCCTATGTCCTTTTTATTATTATTTTTTTTCTTTTAATTGACTCTATCCACTCTTTCTTCTTTTTATTGTTTATAAATTCCCAATTGTCCACAGATCCGTCTATAAGATTCTTTCCAGAATACCCCCTCCTCAATCCACCAGGTCTGTCAAATCCACCAATTGAAATAAACTGGAAAAGAAGGGAAACTTTTTAAACTATAGTTCCACAATTTGTAATTTTGATTTTCCTCACGATCAAATTGTACTCCCTTTTTCCCCCCCTTTTCCACAGTGAGTTCAAGTCCAAATGTTATTTTGTATCTTCTCTGTTGATTACTCCTTCCACTGCTTGTTATTTTGTTGCCTCCGGTTGATCATCTCTAATTAAGCGCTCTCCTTCCTGATCGCCGCTCTCTTTGCTCTCTGCGTCTCTCTCACTCCTTTATAAGTGTTCTCACTTTCTCGAATCCAAATCCTTCTCGACCACCAACGCTGATAACACTCTTTGCTTCCTTCGCTACGCGGCTGCCATCGCTATCGATCTGCCCTGAAGACAGATTTTTTCCTGCCGGATTTAAGGGGTCCGGCTTTTATTCTCCTGGGCACTAGCATCTCGCCCGGATCTCAAAGCCTTCCCCTTTAGTTTTCCAAACCTCTGGGTCTGGAAATGCCCTTAAAGGGCTCCTTTCCAGGAATTAATTGGGTTTTCGGGAGCTGTAACTCGCACCCTTACCCACTCCGCTCAGACGTCACCGCCGGAAGTCCTGATACTATTTGATTGTTATTGGGGTGTAAGTAATAGTTAATTATGGAATAAATGTCTGCATCTATATGGGCAAAATTAAGACTTTGAAAAAGAAAAGTATACAATGCCACTATTTTGACATTAAGTGGCAAAATTAGTTGTTAGTAAAATTATATAAAATTGATTTCAGACTAATATTTAAGTGTTTTCTTTTTAGAATCAGGTGCTATATTCACATTTGGGAAAAGCAAATTTGCAGAAAATGTACCTAGCCAGTTTTGGTTTAAAAATGACAAGCCTTTACACATGTCATGTGGAGATGAACATACATCTGTTGTTACAGGTTAGTATAACAAGATTTTAGAGCCATGTGTTTCGATGTTCTGATTTTTTAAGCGAAGACTGTATTTTGTTGATAATATTATATGAAGGCATTTACTAACATTTTCAGAAATTGATACTTTTATTGTAAAATGAACTAGATAAAATAGGCTTTCCTAGTCACCAAGCCTAGTTCTAAAGTTAACCTTGACTTGCCAAATTGTATTAGCCAAAAAAGTTAATACAATCCTTGGTTGTATAAACAGAGGCATAGAATCAAAATCATGTGAAGTATTAGCACCACTTTATATAAAGCCTTAGTAAGACCACACCTAATACTGCATCCAGTTTTGGTCACCACATTACAAAAAAGATGTTGAGACTTTGGAAAAAGTGCAGAGAAGAGCAACTAAGATGATTAAAGGCATGGAGACTAAAACTTATGAAGAACTGTTAGATGCTTATCCTATGGTTGGGTAGGTAATATATAGAAAATTATGTTCTGTAACTTTAACTGCTACAAGATGACTAATTGGCTGTGCTAAGCAGACATAAAAGAAGGCAGGAAGTTCATTCACTTCTGCTCCTGCTATTAGAAGGTTGAACTGCTGAAAGGAACTGTGTCTGTGTTACTGAAGAGAACTGGAATTGTAAGCAAACTATGTTTTTGTGTTGAACCGTGATTATTTGAAGAAGTGTTATCTTTGTTTTGAGAAGCCAAGTTTGTTTGTTTTACTACAAGTAAAGACTGTTTATTTTTCTTTAAACGTTCAGAGTCTGTGAATATCTGTGTGTTTTGCTAAGCAACGTATCTATTCGCTGTATGGTCCGTTGCACCACTTTGCAGAGGGCAGTTTTACCCTCAACAAGAACAGTTGCAGGATTTGGGTTTGGCTAGTCTACAGAAAAGGACTAGCAGGGACATGATAGCAGTATTCCAGTATTTGAGAAGCAGCCCCAAAGAGGAGGGGTCAATTTATTTTCCAAAGCAGCAGAGGGCAGGACAAGAAACAATGGATGGAAATTAATGAAGGAGAGAAGCAACCTGGAATTAAGGAGAAACTTCCTAACAATGAGTACAATTAACCAGTAGAACAGCTTGCCTTCGGAACTTGTGGGCGCTTCATTAGTGGAGGTTTTTAAGAAGAGACTGGACAGTTATGTGTCTGAAATGGTATGGTCTCCTGCTTGAGCAGGGGCTGGACTAGAAGATCTCAAAGGTCCCTTCCAGCTCTATTCTGATTGATTGATATTATATAAACAACAGTGTCAAATTGAGTAGATGCCTTTCTCTCTTGGGGTCCGTAAATGTAATCAAAATACAGATTAGATACATTAAAAATGTTATAAATCCATGAGTAGTTCAAACCTAATAGACTTTAAAAAGTCTTAAAGGTTTACTGAACAAATACAGGAAATCCTCAACTTACAATTGGTTGTTTAACAACCATTCAAAATTATGACAACTCAGAAAGGCTGCTTTACAGTTTGTAAAGCCCTTCTGTCATGTATGTGGTTGTGATACGGGAATTTAGCATCCTATTCATATTTATGATTGGTTGCCAAGTGTCCTGTGGTCATATGATCAGTATTTGCAATTTTCTCTGCTAGCCTCCCTAGAAAGTTAGTGGAAAACTGGCAAGGAAGGCTGCATGCTGTGGATACCTGCTCACAGGTTCTCAACAAGCATGACCAAGTATTAAATTCTGGCCTAAATTCCCTGAAATACCAAAGAAACTCAGAAGTCAAGAAATAGTAATGTTTAACAGTAAGTTCAAAAATGCCTAGAAGCTTGCTAATGCAAAGTACAGAAGTTATAAATTACTTTTATTAATAGAAACAAAACCAGGAAAAAGATCAACTGTACTAAAGTTATGGAGAAATAAAATGAAACAAAAACATAAGAGGCATGTATTCCCAGACACAAATATATGTTTAAAGTTTATATAATTCAGTAACACTAGCCCTATTTCATTGTAATCATCCATACCTAAACTATCCAATTAGTATTAATTTCTAAGTGGCAAATATATAAATTCTGCAGTCTATTTAATTCTTGGGGCTAGTTTATTGCCCTTTCAATGTTGAAGAATAAGTATTTTAATTGTAAAGAGGATCCAGAAAATACTCTTGTCCATATATCAGTTTATATGTCATAGAAATATAGTTTAAAAGAATAACAAGAATTTTGTATTTACAACAAAAAACAAGGTCCATTCTTATTTTATTTAATAATTTAAAACTTAACTATTAATAATCACTCCTATCAACTATTTTAATATAATTTAAGCTTACTCAGTATATCATTGCTTTTTCCACTTTTCAGAGCTTCTCCCAACTTCATACAGTTTGTATACAGTGTTAGAGTTTGCAGCAATCCAACAAGCACACAAGTAAAGAATTCAGCAGGATTCATTTCTATAATAAACTTCTTTATATACAATACCATACAGCAGAAGCCAGAACCAGAACTCAGAATCCAGAAGTACAGAATCAATAATCACAGAAGCTATATAATCATAGAAGTACTCATATATATATATACACAGATCAGTGAACCTAAGCCACACCCAGGCTCTGAGCCATCTTGGGTTACCAAACAGTCCCCATTGGCTGACCTGTTACCATGTCTATTTCAATTCATGAACTCTCACACACTGACACTCCTCCCTTCATGACTGGAATAGACATAAAACCGAATAACTTAATATTCTTCCCATGGTGCACTCCACCTTTTAACTTTCCAGTATATATGCAACCATCAGCCTTGCAGCTCTTGAACCCAAGATCCTTTAGTGCAGTATCTAAACAGATATTCCAATTCCTGGCTGCTTCAGCCCATAAATGGCCTTGTTCAATTTATATACAGTGTTAGGCTTTTTGCTTTCATACCCTGGTGCTTGAACCATGTAAATTTCTTCCTCTAATTCTGCATTGAGGAATGCTGTGGTTACATCAAAATGCCAAATTTTATGGCCATGTGCCGCTGCCAACACTAGTGCCAACCTTATGCTTTCACTCTTTACAGTTGGCATGAATACCTCATGGTGCACGTTTTTCTTTTGTGAAAAACCTTGTGCCACTAATCTCGCTTTATATTGTAATCTCGCTATCGTTGGGTAGTACTTTCTTTTTGTACACCCACTTACATCCTACGGCTTTGCAACCTTGTGGCAAAGTCATAGATATGAACACTATGTTCACCTATGAATTGCATTTCTTTTTCCATGGCTTCTTTCCACTTTACTTGTTCAATTTTGGGTAGTGCCAATACTTCCTGATAGTTTCTTGGCTCATACCACACATTAAACACCTTAACCTCACCAGCAGAATACCTGTCAGGTGGAATCCCCTTGTTCCATTGCTCTGACCTGCGTGGCATTTACTGCTCTTGTGTTTCAATCCTCTCTTGTTTCATATCCAAGTCATCTTCTCCTGACTCCTTTTCTTGCTCTTTTTCAGTTTCTCCTCCCTGAACTCTGACACTGTCACTGAGTTACCATCACTAAGTGGGTCACCATCACTAAGAGGATCACTCCAAAAATTTGCATCAATTCTGTTCCAAATTTGCTCTGCAAAGCTAGCAGATCTGGAAATGATTATTCTTTTGTTCCCATTGCTAAATGAATAGCTTTTTGAGCGAGGCTCATAGCCTGTAAACCTGAGCTTTCTAGCCTTTGGTTGACCTTTTCTCCTGATTGCTTTTTGGAATATGCACTCATGCATTGCTTCAAAAAACCCTTAAATGTGCCAGAGATAGCTGTCTTCCATATAGCACAGCATATGGAGTATTATTAATAGAGGAACTCCACAGCCTATTGATTAAATAATTAGCAGTCAACGTGGCTTCACCCCAATATGATCTACTCAGACCAGAATCCTCCAGCAGTGAGTCCTTCATTGTTTGTAAGACTCCATTCCATCTCTCAACTACACCATTCTCAGCTGCTGTGTATGGCTGGATTTGTGTATCTGTGTTTTATATCTAACTGTCCAACCACTGTTAAAAACTTGCTGACATGAATTCTGAACCTCTGTCAGTTTGCAGTTGACATACCTGTTGTTTATATCTCCTTTCTACGAAGCTTACCCATTGCTTAAATTTCTATAGCACCTCTGTTTTACTCTTTAGTAAATAGCAGAACCCAAACCTGCTGTAGTCATCTACAACGACCAGCGCATATTTTGCTTCTCCCAAACTGGCTTGCATTGGCCCAACCAAATCTGCACGTACCAGTTCTAGAGCTCTTGTTACTACTCTTGCTTACTGGGAATGCCTTGGACTTTGATGATTTACATAGTGCATAGTCCAAGTATGCCTTATACCCTTTTAAGTTTAACCCTTCTCCAAACTGTTGCATCTTTTGCAAAACTCTGAGGCTGGCATGGCATGACTGGTGGGTTTCTACCGGTTCGCCTTGGTTTGGGCAAACTGGTAGTGGCGGTGGTGGGAGGCTCTGCCCACCTGCCCCGACATCATCACGGACACTATGTGCATGCACAGAAGCGCCGTGCACAAGCAGAGCATGCACATGCATGCTCAGTTCCGAACTGGTAGCGAAGGTAAACTTAAGATGATATAGGGCAGTGCCTTATCATGCCTCCTTTGATCTGCAGCTGCTAATAGTGCCTGAGGTGGATTAACAACAATATCCCAGAGCTCCTTAGCCTTCAGGAAGCATTCCAATTTTGCAGCCCAAATGATATAATTCTTTTGTCCCAATTGAGGCAGAGAGCTGTCCTTGAATTCAACAGCCATCCTCCAAGCCTTCTCTGCCTTGCTCCTTTTACTTTTTTAACACAGGCAGTCCTTCAGCTTAATTACAGTTCAGTATTACTGTGTCTGATATGCTCTGGGCCCATAACCTGTTAGAGTTTGCAGCAATCCAACCAGCACACAAGTAAATAATTCAGAAGGATTCATTTATATAAGAAACTTCTTTATATACAATACCATACAGCAGAAGACAGAATCAGAACTCAGAATCCAGAAGTACAGAATCAATAATCATAGAAGCAATA